ACCGTGGCAGTGAAGTAGTTCAGGAGGAAAGCTTTTCCTAAGGGGAGAGGGCATTTGAAGGACTCTCTCTAAAACCATGGCTTCCGCCACTGAAGCACTTTGGAAGAAAAAAGCAGACAGACTCTCTTGGATAAACCTGCAGACATCTGAAACATTATTACAGAGCTAATAAGATTACCATGAAGATTTGTATGTATGTATGTATACAGACACCTGTAGCATATAAACTACTTTAACTTGTTTTTCCACAGTCCTTCAAGGCAGGAACTATCTCAAGTTGTTATCTATACAAAAGACCCTGGACACATGTCACAGGAACATGCAACAGTTGGCTCTGCATGCCGCATTGTTAACCAGTCATATCAACAAATGTACCAAGTCCGTGAAGGAGACAAAGCAATCTTATCCCACAACCTCAAGTCATGTGGGCAGCAACTCATTTGCAATCTACAATATTTTCTGCAGCAGTCCATCATAAATGTCAAGTATGTTTTGAACCATTTCTGTATAACAGTGTAGCACTTTCCTCTTAATTTGTAGGCATTTTCCAAAACAACTGTAGACATTTTCAGCACCATGATGTTCTGGTGAATGACCTGAATGTATTACTTAATATGTTATACCCAAACTTGAACCTAGATCTGTATCACTAGATATTTCATAACCTCTTTTCTCCTTAGGGTGCAATAGCAATATAAACTCTGTCTACACCAACATTTTTAGAATATTTTCCTGTTGATCAATTACTTTCATTTATACCACCACAAACAGAAGAAAAATGCATGTGCTCATTCTACTGGAACTGACAAGCACAGCTTTCTAATAGAAGGATTTGTGGGCGTGGTGCTCGAGTGAAGGTTCACCAGGGCAATCCAGTTGATCCATATAAGAAGTTGGTCTGACAGGTTAAAGCAGCAGTGTGAAGCCATGACCACAACAGAGCATTTTAACAGCAACCATGCCACCACAGCTTAACTTGTTCTAGCTATCATCATATAGATTATGGTATTCCATGAGCACAAATAAAATCAAACATAAGACACATCTACAGTGTTTTAGAAAAACAGCATGGGAAGCTCAAGTAAACTGATCAACACATTAGGTTGGGTCCCACAGTGAATTTCTGTGAAAGGAAGGAGGGATTTTCACCAGATGCCCCCTCACACTGTTCCTGAGGGTCTCCTGTACCTTAGCAGCAACTTTCAGAAGGACTTTTTGCCTACAGCAGGAGGAAATAAGCGAGGAAGGCCCACTCCGTTTCACTGATGGGAATCCTTTCGGCTAGCAGAAATGTTCTGCAGGATCCAAGCTATTAGAAGGGAAGACACAGCTTCCCTCCCCCAAAACTACAAGCCAATCTGTCCTGGGGGAAACCAGCTGTTTCCCATTCCCATTAGACACGCTACAGAGACAGAAGATAGGCGGATTTTCCAGGCGCGATCACGCCGCAACATCTGGGAAGCATAGAGCTCCCGTGGCAAACCTGAGGCTTCCCGCCGAAGATGCGGAGTTAAAAACCAGTGCCCCCAAGGTACTAGTTTCCGGAAACCGCAGGGCAAGGGCTGGCGTCTGATCGCGTTTCCGGTGGTGGCATCCGGCGCCCACCCATGTCCCTTCGCAAAAATGGTTTCCCCACCCCCAAGTCTCCACAAGATGTGCACAAGCACCCAATGGCGCATGTGCACGAAGAGGAAAGTGAAAGTGCCGTTTTGGCTAAAAAAAAACCCCATGACCCCGTTTGTCACGGCAGCGGTGCCTAGCCATTGCTGGTGTGATCGCGCCGCTTCTATGCCGCGCTGCAGGATTGTCGTGTGCTTGCCACCCTCGTTTACCCGCCGGTGCCGAGGGAAGGACCCATGGTGTGCCCCCGGCGTATCTGATCGCGTAATCATGGATCAAACTGCGCCGGGGCAATTAGTCACGCCTCCCCCCCCGCAATATCTGGCCCGTGTGACCGGGGCCAAAGGTGATCTGATCAACCAGATCAGTGACAGCAAATCTTTTTGGGAAAGAGAGCCACAAGTCAAGCCTAAAGTACAACTCCATATGTCTCAAGAGCATTCTTTAGTACAGATGCCCACCCTCCAATGCATAGGTGTGGAGGGATATTGCCTCCAGTTGACTGAACCAAGGAGCAGGTAAGCACAGAAGAAATAGACAAAGTCTTTGGGAGTGCCACAAGTCCTCATTGCCTGTGCCATGTCTCCTTTGACTTTGCCCAACAAAAGACCTTAAGCAATTTCTAGTGCCTCGGAGAAAAGGAAGAAAATCTTAGGAGATATCCCAAGGACATTGGCTATGTAGGAGATGGAATTAAAACTGTGCCCAGTTCCCGCTACCACAAAAAGCAAAATGCAGGTTGGGGAGCAATTTGGGTTGGAAAAATGGTGCAGGACAATGGGTTATGGAGTCTCTCTGATCAAACCCGCAGCCCTGTCCTCCTGCATTTCATAAAAAACAAAAACAAACCTGGGAGATCCAGTCACAGGATTCCCGTGACCTGTAGTTTGACCCTGAGCTTTCCTGACATCAATGGGCCATAATTGAGATGCCACTAATGATTTGGCAAGCAATCACTGAATAAGCCCCAGAGCAACTTATACAAAAGTCTCTCATCAGAGCCTTACTGAAGCAAAAAAAAGAGACTTACGTCTCATTCATCTATTTTTAATATTCCAGTCACACATTTTTTCCTGTATGCACCATTCTCTCAACCAAATATTCTTTAATTAGTTATTCGCCTCTTCTACCCCAGCCAATTCTCCTTCTACTATAAAGAAAAGGAAGATGGGGAAAAGGAATGCTAAATATATCTCATCGTTGCAGGGAAATGGTATTTGATAACCAGACAATATCACATTTCACTCTGGGTTTACTCCCGGAGTAAATCAGCTTAATAACGTTTCTCTGGGTTTACTAAAATCTGCCTAAAATCTCTAAAACCAAAGCAACTCATTTTATGATCAACTCACAGAAGAACACTTCTGGATATTTATTCACTCCCTAATACTCTATATGAGCATTAAACTTAATATTCTTTAGCTTGTATCCAAGATCAGTATGCAATTATGCCCAATGCAATAAGAAGCTCTCTGAAGCCTGTTTTGTCTAAATCGCCACATTGGAATATATTGACAATATAATCTGTGACCAAGCAACAAGTGAAAAATGCCTTCTTTCTGATAATTAATAGTTTAATTATTTTTCATCACAGAATACCAACACCAAAAAACAAACAACACACAAAAACAATGCCTTCCTTCTGTAATCTTCTCTCCACACAGCATATTTAAATAAGTACTATGTTAGTCTCATCCTACACAGTGCCCCCACAGGACGGGATGTTATTTGTCAGATATGCTTTTGTTGGCCAGCAAAAGTGCCACCCTCAGTTTATTGACTAGTGTAGAATCAAGAAGGAAAGGAAAATGAAACACTTAGACCTTGGGAGGAAAACAGAAGAGGGGGGCAAGAGCCTCTGGAGAAAGCTTGAGGAGCAAAATGGAACCATGAATTAAAACTGCACAAGAACTGGGAAGATGAAAGAACAACCAATCTAAAATGGAAGACAGAGAGAAAAGTAAGGCCAATGCAGCCAATACAGATTCATTCCTCCTTGTACTCTTAATTAACTCTCAAAATTTGCCTTAAGCAAATGATATGGTATTACAGGAGATGTCCAGCTCATCTCATATACAAACTGAAACCCATTCTCTTTTCCTGCTACAGAAAATCACCTTCCAAGCAACATCACCCAGGAAAATATTTCCATCATGTTCCTTTGAAGCCCAATTCTGCCATCGCAATGAACCCCCCACCCACATCCAACACAAACCTAAACACAAAAATTCATTTGCCAAGGGCACAGAGGTCTGGCCTAGACTGGCGTCATTTGTCAAACATCATCCATCCATGACCACACATTTTTAACACGTTAGGTTTTTTTCAGCTCATATGACCAATGGTCTCAAGCACATCCACAACATACGTATAAAATACCAAAAAGCAAGAATTTAAACAGTTTTAACAAAGTAATTTGCGTTACTTTAAAAAAAAAAATTAGCAGCAATTCATCAAATTTCCAGATCACACACCCGATTTCTGGCTCTTGAAACAAAGCTATTTCAGATTTTGCCAGACCAACACTTGAGACTATTTGATGCACAGGAACAAGAAAGAATGGTGGTGGAAAGTGCCATCCAGTTGCAGCCAACTTATGATGACCCCTCATGGGGTTTTTAAGGCAAGAGACTGTTCAGAGGTGGTTTGCCATTTCCTGGCTCTGCACATAAGGAGCCTGGACTTTCTTGGTGGTCTCCCATCCAAGTACTAACCAGAGCCAACTGTGCTGAGCTTCTGAGATTTGATGAGACCAGGCTACAAGAAACTATAGAGGTTACCAAAACAGCACATTAAGCACAACTGACTTCTCTTGGCACACTTTCTTAATACCTTTCCTGATAAGGTTGAAAAACAAACAGCTAAGGAAAAATAAAAAGCTCTCTCACACTCTTTTTCCCACACCTCGGCAAAAGCCACAGGGAAATTCAAGATTCCAAAAGAAGGTATCTGTTTCTTCACTATTACATCTGCCTCTTCATTTCACAGAATGTTGTACCATGTTATCTTCAGAATTCTAAAGACACCAGTCCTAAGCATGCCTACCAGGAAATGTGCTGTTTGAAATATATGGGCCTTGCACCCCAGTGTGCATGATTAGACTGTAATATGATGGAAAATAAAATCCCGACCATCTGATTTCAGCATTAATATACCTTTTGTCCAAAACACAGGTTTTATAGGTAACAACAATTTCATTCTCCACTTTATGAGATAGTATACAGAGAAGACAATGTTCTCAACCAGCTATCAGCTGATCCTTTACATGCATGCAAAGTGGCTTCCTCTTTATGTTCTTATATGGAAATTTAGATGGTGTGTATCAAAAACTCTCTAAGCACCTTTCATTCAATGGTCATACACAGCTGAATATTCATTACCTTAGTGTTGGCTTTTGATTCCAGTAACAGAGTTGCAAATTCAGAATCACTTTGTTGACGCTGAAGTGTCCCTAAGAGTCAGTTCTTGCCAGCAAAGTTTCTTTTTCTTCCCCCCCCCTTCAAGAAAATGAATGAACGTGTTTGCAAGAGGGCTATCACCACGCAGAAGGACTGGCAACAGCTGCACAGCAATGAGCTGTTATTTTCTAACTAATTCTGAGGAGGGAACCACATCTTCAAAAAATAACTTAGCAGCCTATTGCATGTGTGCATGGGTGGGGGGAAGCACATGTTCACACACAAAAGAACAAAATGTACTAAATCAAGCAGAAACTATTACCGCACCACTTAGCAGATATCTCTTATTAGAAAGTTAACAGAAGGTGTCAGAGGGGGAGGGCAGGGAAAGAAAATTACAGCTCAGCCAGCTGTGCAGTGTACCAAGAAAGGTGTAGGCACATAAAAAAATTTTTTTTGCAAAAAAGAGGGGGGGGGCACACAAAAGCAACTCCACCATGCTCTCTAAAACCGCATCCAAACGATACACCCTAAAGGTAAATGGCAAAAGGACAAACATAAATCTCTGAGGAAAGAAAGGACCCCGCAGGAAGGGATTGGGGGGGGGGGCTCAGCCTGGCTAGAAAACCTGGCCAAAGAAGCCCCTGGTAAAAGGTTTCCTTCCTTCCCACCTTGCCTGAGAGGATGCCACTAGAGAAGCTAGAAGAATCCGCGTCGCCTTTCTTCAGAGCTGCCGGTCCTTGTCTTCAGCAATGCCAAGGGAGAGGAGATCCATATGCGTGCCTGCCTGCCTCCTTTGTTCCTAAAAGCTCGAAGGGAGCGCGGAGAAAGCGTGCGAGGTGGTGGCGGCGGCGGCGGCGGCGGCGGCGGCGGGGCTTCTGCCTGTTTGCCTGCCGCCGCTCCCCCTCCCTCGCCTTCTTCTCCCCCCCCCCGACTTTTCTCTCTCCCCCTAAACCACAGAAAAGGCAGCTGGGGTACCTGCAGCAGCAGCAGGTCGTCCCTGGCCAGGTAGCTGTCCAGCTTCTTAGCTGTCGGCGTCTCTGTCCTACGTGTCCCGGGGAGAGTGGCAAGGCGACTAACCGGGCTGCGAAGGAGGAAACGGTAATTTATAAGCGCTTTCTTCCTGACCTCTCGTGTCTGTTGTCTAATGAGGGAGCATTGAGCATCACCCATCCTGCTGAGTGGAAAAACACCAGCTCGGCCTCTTGTTTGGCGGGGGGAGGGAGGAGGGAGGGGTCGGCAGGGGGAAAAGGGAGGGGCCAGGGCTCAGGCGGCGGCGGCGGCGGCGGGCGGGCGGCCTCACACACGCAGGCAGGCAGGCACACGCGGAGCGGGAACGGGGCGGCCTCGCCTGGCAGGCGGCCCGTGGGCCTCAACGAGGCGGGGAGGGGCTGCCGGCCACGAGGAGCAGCTGACGGGCGGCCTGAGTGGCGGCGAGGGCTGCTGCTACTGCCGCTTCTGCCGCTGCCGGGAGGCGGGAAAGGGAGCCCGCAGCTCTGGGCGCGAGGCAGGAAGGCGGAAAAGTAGCAAGTGGCCCGCGGCCAATGAGAAACGGGTGTTTTTTTTTTCCTTTGCAAAAGTGGGGAGGGGAGGCCTCTGGGGCGCGTGGCAGGAGACGACGGCTGGCCTCGCGGGCTTAGATCCCTCCTCCCAAAGACACCCCAGGTGAGGGAGGGTCAGCGAAGCAATTTCGTTGCAGGCCTAGCTGCCCCCCCACCCCCCCACTCACACAAAGGCTCCCAGCAGGTGGGTCCATGAATCCCCGAGCAGCCAATGTCACACGTTACACAGCCCAACCTGCGTTTGCCGTAGCCCGCGCTGTGCAGCCAATCATGGCGCCGTGGGGAGTAGAGCTGTACTGCCCCACGTTTGCCGGCAGCCTGATGGATTACCTTCAGCAATGCTGTTAAGCAGTTTAAGACTGGAACGCGCGACCTCTATACGACGGTGGATGCTGCAAAGGCCAAACCGCAGCCTGCGCGCCCCTCCCACGGCCCCGCTTGAGTCCCTGCAACAGGGTGCTCAAGCCCCGTTCGGACGACACCACGCTTTCCCGTCAAAGTGGGCACCTAAATAACGTCCCTTCCCCCCCCCCCCAAAGCCACTCCCAAGACTGATGCAGTGGGCAGATGTGGGATGGGGCAGAGAGGACATTTCTCAAGGTCAGATTCCTGCTCAGCTATGTCCTTGGGTAAGTCCTTCCCTCTTCACCTGTTCTGCCTCACTGTATGATCCTGAGATTTTAATGTTGCTCCGGATTTCTTGAGTGAACGGCAATGGGTAGTGGGAGAACAACCAGTAATAATAAATGGACTGAAGGAAGTTGTGTGGAAGGAAAACATGAGAGAGGGATGGCCAGGGCTCAGCTGTGCTACCTGTTTCCACACAGTAATATGGCTTAACCCTGAAACATGAAGTGATTTAGATAGATAAATAGAGATATAAAATATATTGACTGAATGCTCTCAGATTTCATTCAGTATTGGGTGACTACAGTCCAAGCACATTTAGAATTAGCTTCCTAGGAAGAGGATGAGATTTCCTTACACACATAGGACATGGCATCTCTCACTTTACATATTCATCTGTTTGAAATTCTGCCCCTCTCCTTCACTTTCATCCACCGTTAATGATCCTTAAAGTGCCATGAGGTTTTTGTCATCTTGATTGGTCTTAATAAAAAATGTATTTATTGCACGGATTTTGTTTTTGGATTGTGGGCCATCATGACTACCTGCTATGAGTGTCAGCCTCCAGGTAGGACCTCTGTTTTCCCCAGAATTGCAGCTCATTTCCAGATGACAGAGTTCAGTGCCACTGGAGAAAGTGGGTGCTGTGGAAGGTGGACTCTATGGCATAAGTACCCCCACTGAGGTCCCTGTCCTCCCCAGGCTCCATCCTCAAATCTACAGGAGTTTCCCAACCCGGATCTGGCAACCCGACCTCCCATCCCCCACCAGTGACCATAGATGACCTGGGAACCCTACTACCTGCAGCGTCTCGCTTTTTAAATGGGGCATCTGGTAACTCTTCCAGGATCTAAATGTATAGCCTTAGGGATTTGGCTTCAAGGAACTGCAACTGAGTTCAAGGACAAAAGGAGGTTTATGTTCCTTATGTGTCATGGATGCCTTCTTCATGGAGGCTAATAGTCCAGAGATGGTCTACTGATGGCTCTTTTGAAGCACTCAGCAGAGCATGGAGAAGGTGACTTGTCCCAGCTGAACAGAGAAGACATGTCTCTGTATGAGGGGAAAAGAGCATTTTTGGGTCTGGCAGGAAAGCGTTAGGAAAATTGGGAGCCAAATGATGGCGAGACTTTGTGTACACTCTCAATGTACACCATCCCATAACTAATTGATTATGCAGCACTTTATAACTTACGACTGTTTATGACTGAATTGTTTTACATGATTTTATGTGATTTTAATTGTTCGTTTTAACCAGTGTAAGCCGCCCTGAGCCTGCTGTAAAGCAGGGAGGGCGGGGTATAAACCTAATAAATAATAATAATAATAATAATAGGAAAAGCTGGCACAGTTTTGAGCCGGCTGAAACATTTTGGGGTGCGGTGATCTGTCTTGGGATCTATGTAACGTAGTAGATCTCTTGCCTTGTAATAATGCCTCTGTGACTCCACTTGTGCCCTGCATGTATATTTGTAGATATAGCAAATATTGGCCTTTTTGGCTAATAAGCATTAGTACCAGGAAATATTACAGAAACAGCATACGTGTTCAGTGGTCTCTCTTCCAAAGAGAACCAGTCTGGGAAGTCTTCTCCTTGGAAGTTCTCATCCCTTGAAGAATGGGGAATGCATAGCAACAGGATTTTAAGGGGAGGGAAGGTTAAAGTTCCTAGAAAAGTATACTATCATATCTAAGTGCTCATGAATGAGAAAGGGGTAGAAAGTGTGTCTGAAAAACAATGTTGCGCCACAACGGAAATGAGTCAACTATTTTTTAAAAATGAAACTAAATTTCTTATATCCCCACAATGAATTTGACAACTACGCAGAGAAAATAGAAGTTGATATAAAGAATGCTGAGAAGCAAATGCATTTTTCAGAAGATATGTTTCATTCCTCAGAAGAGGTGGTTCCTTCAGGACACACCAAATCAGCAGTGCTTTGGTCAGCCACGTTCATGATTGATTTATTTACATTTATAGTCTGTCTTTCTCATTGAGACTCAGTGCAGTCAGAATGCTCAACAGTGATCTCTGTTTAGACAGTGGATCTGCTAGCAAGGAAAACAGTGGAGATAAAATCATTAGGAGACACTTAGGACCTTAGTACTCAGAGCCTCGAGGTCTCTCTCAGTCCCTTTCTCTTGCATTTGGGGTGACTAATTCACTGCTAGGGGACACTCATAATTGCATAGCAGGGTCACTACTACACAAAGGATTTTTTAAATCTTTATGGTATTGTTTGCTTTCACCCCAATGGGGAGCCAAAGCAAAATATATAGTTGTCCTCTTCTGCATTTTATCCCTTTGATGTAGGTTATGCTGAGAGCATGTGACTTTCCAAAGCTTACCCAGCAAACTTCCATGGCAGAGCGGGGAGTTGAACCTCGGTCTCTCAGATCCTAGTCTGGCACTGAACTCTTTATTTCTATTCTAAGCCTCACCTCTTAAGTGAGCAACCAGGCTCTGACACTGGTGAAACATTGCATAGACCAAGGTATTGTACCAAGAGGATTTTCTCTTGCATTCTGCAAATAAGTAAGCAGAACTATCTTGCCTCACTTTCCTTGTGCAGAGTCTGATTGTGTCTGTTTTTGGTTCATGTTTCGTTTTGTTGAAACCAGCCAGCAAAAGTAAAAATAATCAGACTGCTTTGGACACCAAATGTATAAGAGGAAACAAAGGTGTTTTGGAATCAAGAGCCTGTAAACATTACCTGGAACAGACTAAAGTCATAATAATCTTCATCATTCCTACATGACATAAAATTGGGTACTGTCAGTCCATGCTTTATTAAACCACGCCACTCAAAACAGTTTGACAGGATGATGACATGGGGGTCATGTTACACTGATA